ACTAAAAAATATTTTCTAAAGAGCACTTAATAGTCGTCGCTGCCAGCCATTGAAGTCAATGTTCGTGTACAGGTGTGTTCCTGATTACAGGCAATACTTAAATCTGTAAGATTTGTGCTTGCATACCTGCCGGTACCTGACACTGAAAATATCAACTCACGGGAACCTTCAGCGGATGCGAACGTTGTTTTTCCCTTCAGATTAAGCCACTGGCTACAATCATACTGCTGTACTACTTGCTACAAAGATTGGGTTTTGTCTTACTTTGGTATCACTGTGAATCAACTGGAGAATCTAAACAAATAAATAAGGCCAATCTAGGGTATGTCTAGGAGTTCAGGAAATCAGGAATTCAGTTTGGAGCTACAGAGGTTATACGCCTAGTTTAGTTTGATCAGTGTTTACACGGCTCAGAAGTGGCATGTAAGATACTCCTGCAGGCATGTCTCAGGCTTCAAAATTGTAATTAAGTGTGAAACACATGTGCAAACTAAACCAGGTAGCTGAAAGCAAGATTAAAACAACATGCAGTCATTATTAACCCTATTATATTGCACTTCAGGAGCTAAACTGCAGTATAAATGGATTATAGTTAGACTGAATGCAACTGAGTGAATCATATTTTTCCTAGGCTTCAGCATTCACAGTTAAAAAAAACTGTCTATTTTAATTAAAAGAAAAGTTCATCTAAATACCACCATCCATAACATGTGTACTAATTGCATGGGGGGGCTAACCGTCCCACGGTCAGAACAGCTCGACACAGTAAAAGCACACAAGAAAGACGTTATGGGCTGGTAGCATTTAAATCACCATACCACATTAAAACAGACTCGGCTCTCAGAGGCGCCCAAGAAAAAGGGTTCGGTTCAGTTCAAAATCCACTGCTTTTTGTGACAGTGAGGGCGGAGGGGACATTTGATCAACTGGGCTGCTTGCGAGTGGCTGTAATCCAGTGCTCAGATGGGTATGTGTGTCTATGTGAACGGTAGCGTCTGATAGCCTTTTGCACCTTTGCCAGTAAACAGCCACCTCCTCAAAAAGCACATTTTAAAAAGTTGTTGTTGAGTGACGTGCCCCTTCCTGGCGCACTGACCCCTCACCCCTCCCCCCCCCCACCCACCCCCCTCGATCACGCTTTGGTACAAGTGCTGGACGCAGAGGACGCTGCTCCTGGGCTCCCTTCGTCCATCCACTTGTCCAGGCTCCGCCGCCGGGCATTCATGAAGAAGTTGCTGACGGTCGTCAGCTCCAAACCCAGCTGCTGAGAGATTGTGATCTGCATCTCCTTAGACGGTCGCTTGTTTTCCTTGAAGATGGCGAGAAGCGTTCGGCGCTGGAGGTCAGTAAAAACCAGACGGGATTTCTTTGGTGTATTGCTCCTGTCTTTGCCTGGATCTTGCTCTTTGCGTTTGCATGCTTTGTCGAGAGGGGGAAAGGGAGAGAGAGAGAGTTTGATTAGTAGACTGAAGGTTGTCTTAACACCAACTTTTATTATCTAGTTGTTCCTGTTATTTTTATTTGCCTAAGGCTTTTATCTTGAACAAATCACATTTTACCCATTAACTGTATATAGCTGGGCATTTTAATCAGAACAATCTGAGTGAAATACTTTGCTCAAGAGTACAGCAGCGGTGTCTCACTTGGGATTTGAACCACAGAGCCTTCCAATTACAGAGGCCCAATAACAATCCTGTCTTTTAGAGGTACTGG